ACTTCAGTCAGTTCTTGAGCTGTTTAAAAACTCAAATTACCAACATAATAGTTGAATGACAAATCAAACGCAAGTCATAATACTTTAGTATTTAATATTTCAATATAATAATATGATGATTTAATAATTATGAATTACATTCATTCTTTAATAATTATGTAAATATAATTTTTTTTTACTTTTCAGAAAATCTGTTGACAGTTCATGAACCAAAAGTTTAATTATTTATTTAAATTATTGAAATTTCTAGCATGAAAAATATTGACTGGAAGATATAAATATTTACAAGATGTAAAAAATGTTTAATTCATACTGATATACATACTATATAATTTTACATTCAAATTACCATATTGATATATTAATTTGTATGTATTGTTGATATGTATTTGAGTGTCTGTTGTTTTCCAATTAGAAATATTTGTCAACAACAAAGACAATACTATTACATTTTACGCATTACATGATGTGTTGCCTGTTGAATAATAAAAAGTAGTTAAATGTATTTTATTGCATGAGTAAATAGTAATTAATTACCCTCCAAATTTTTCTTAATATTTGCAATTGTGAATACAAATTGTTAATATCGGTTTTAAATATCGTGGAGTGACTACGAGATCGATTTTATTCAGATTCACTTTTTATTTTTATAATATCCATGCTGCATCTCATGTCTCCATTTCCATCATATGACTACACAAATTCAGCAATATATGTTAAACCAATAAATAATTTGTGGAAGATTGGAAATAACTTGTCCCAGAGTTCGGGTGTTCTTGTATTCAAGAAATAATTATCAATGGACATGTTTGAAGGTTTTGATCAATTTGAAATTGAGGAAGTGCGCCTTCATTCAGCTATAGCAGTAATCCGAGAACTTTCTTTTAAATTATAATTAAAAAAAAAAACACTGGTCTGGTATAGATAAACTCATTTTCTTTGCTATAGAAAAAAGCATATCCTCCATCCATTGGGCCAGTTTCTCCTTGGGCCAGTTAAGAATTCAATAAAAACTAATCAATCCTGGTCGTGCTAATTCAAAAAGCTTTTACATTTTTGAAATCGGTTCAGCATTTATTGACAAAACATCGACAAAAGCTCAAAAAATGGCTCACAAACATACTTATTCCAAAACTTGTTCTCAAACGATTCAGATCGACTTGTCAGGTATAATAGATAATGCAATATATCACAATGTACTATCGAGTGAAACTTCTTAGGCGACTTTAACAAGGTTGCTTTAAATCAAGGGCGAGCAACCTTTTTAACCGCGGGCCAAATTGGTTTTCAAAATTTTATGGCGGGCCGCACGTAGTTTATATATATATACTAGCTGACCCGGCTAAGGTTTAGCCACAGGAAATATTTTTAGAAAATCATCGGTATTAGAAATGACTAACTAATTCTGAACGTATAAATATGTGGTACATAAATGAAAGGGGCTGCTAACACAAATTACATTAATAATTTACCCACTACAACGCTAAATACTAACATTCATATCTGACTTAGGTTATGCTATGTTTAGCGAAACGAGTGATATTTCAATTACTCTGAAAAAAAAATCAGTTTTTCTCTCAAAAACAATTTTATCTTCAGATTTTAATATTAGATTTCTAGTTTTTTTTGCTAGAATTGCTCCCTTTGCAAGTTATTCAAAAACTATGTATTTCTAATGCACATCGGGAAATATTTGTACAGTAGTTTATACCGCAAATCAGTTAGTTTTATCGAAAGTAACCATTTCGTTGCCAATATTTAACTATTGTTTTTAAAATGTTGCAGCGAATAGAGAGAATAAATTTAAGCTTTTTTATAAGCTCAGAAAAATCTTGATCGAATTTCAGTTAAAAACGTTCACAAAAAAGGCGAAAAGGTTAATTGATTTATTGCCGAGCTAAATAAAAAATATTGGACTACTAAAATGACTATTATAAATTAATGGAAATTTGGAGTTGTATGTAGTTTTGCATTCCGCATTAAAAAAATTAAAATAAAGAATAAAAATTAAAAAATGTTACGTTTGTACAACCCACGCTAAAAATAAATTGCTTTTCTTTTTCAATAAAACTGAAGCTTTTTCATAAACTCAAAAGTCTAAACTAAATTAAGTCAAAAGATCTGTTGTCTGAGCGCGGAAATAATGTAATTACAACAAAATTACAAAATTGTCATAAAAACGAACAAAAATACAAAATTGAAAAAAGTATATATGTTATATTTTACGAGTATATATTATAAATGTTTATAAATATTAATACAAAAGAAAACAAATAATAGCTAAACAGAAAAAATAATTTACTTGAAAACTTTAGTAAGAAATTTGGCACTGTTTTTTTTTGTCAATATCAGCGTTTTTTTTAAATTTTGTTCTTTATTTTATTTTTTTTAATGCGGAAAGTAGCAACACGTATGCAACTTTGATATGTTTTACTCAGTTTTGATAGGTGGTAATTTTTTATGAATTTTATGGTTGAAATTAACACGGGTCCACAAAAAAAGTTGTCTAGATTGCGTATGTTACATATGCTTTCCGATGTATTTCCAATGTACTTTTACCGCTGAATATAAATCTATAGTCAAAATTGGGACACAAAATATGGAAAAACATTTGAAATCTGGCACAATCTTCAATCTAGCATTTTTTCTGAATGAATGAATTATTATCCATCGACTTTTCTTTGAGGGGCTGTGAAATTTTCGCACACATACGTACTTCCAAAAAATAATTTATCATAATTTGATTTGGGTTTTTTTTCGAAAGCAAAAATGTTCCAGTGCTGACATGAGATTTATAAAAAATTGCGATGTTTACTGAAAAAATACATTTTCTAAATCTGTATAGTTTTGCATGGTAAAGAAAACATTTACATAAAAACGGCTGTTTTGTTAGCTTTAAACATTTGGAATCACAATTAAAATTTATTCACATTTTTTTCTGAAAATGGAATGTGAAACACAAGATACTGCAAAAGATATTATTCCTTATCACCAAAATGACGGAAGTACTACAATTGTTCTTTCATATCCAAAAACAATTTTATAGTTCGCCATTTGGGTCGTATACTCCTTTAAGCATTGCATCAATATTGAGCTAACTTACTTTGGTATTGAAAAGCACATCGCCATATTCACGCTCTAAATTGTCAGGAAGTCTTTAAATTCACGAATTTTTAAATTTTTCTTGCAATATTGTTAAACTAATATTTAAATTAATATTCATTTTATCAGCGAACAACTGTTTTTACCAGTATTTGACTGACAACAAAATTAGCTTTTACAGCCGTATTTCATAAAATATCTAGAAAAATAATCTGTAGTTGAAAAATGCTTGGCGGGCCGCATGCGGCCCGCGGGCCGCGGGTTGCTCATCCTTGCTTTAAATGTTCAATGCAAAGTGAGCTAATGTTTGAATAATGATTGTTTTAGAATGCCATAGATTAGGAATGTTGAATTTTATTTTACATTTTTTTTAGAATGTAAAATGTTTTTCAAATGTTATGGATTATTCCATAATTTGTAGAATATTTATTAGAACATTGTAGACTGTTTGAAAGTGTTGCATAGTCTTTGAAGGTCTTGCAGAGTGCACGTAAGCATTGCAATCTCATTTTCACTTTACGAAGTTTCTCTTCTTTTGCAGAGTATCACTTCTATTATTTTTATTGTTTTTTTTTGTGGGAAGATGAAGGATTTCCTTCGCTCCTCTCAAAAAATAAAAAACATAGAAGCTTTAAAATTGAGTTTTGTCAGTTCTTCAAAAATGTCATAAATAGGGGTGGAAAAGAAATAATTTATGATGATTTTTTATACAAAATCTGACCTCAATCTTGAAACATTTGTCAAGATTGGGTCAGAAAAATATACGATACACGACAACATTGGCAGGTAAATTGTATTCGTGAGAATGCAAAATTTTATACGTAGACTCTTCTATGGATTTTTAGATATTTTTAGATATCTATATATTTTACACATTTCTAGACAATTTCAAAATTATGTAGCCATTTGTAGATATTTTTTTAAATTTTTGTACATTTTTAACCCTTGCCAGTAGGCGACATATACATTTATTTATGTATATCTAAACATTTTTGTACATATTAAAATTTTTTAAGTTACATTTAAACATCACTAGACATTAAAAATTAATACATTGGCAAAAGAGTTGAAAAAATATTTTAAAATTACCATTTGATTTACTGATTTTTTATATATCTATTCAGGCTTGTCCATAACGACAAGGTTGGTAGGGTTACTTCAACAAGCTTCAGAAATGAATCGGTACTAGAAGCTAATTCAGGCCGAAGAAGCGAAGGACACGAGGCGTGATCTGAGTCGCTTAAAATCCCTTCACTCAGAAAGGAATAAATTAAATGAAAAGTATAGGGAACTAGAATTGTGTATCAAGTCCCTATACAGGAATATAATTTATAAACGCATGAAGTAAGATATTTTAACATTTATGGGCCAATTCTCGGATAACACAGCTAAGTTTTGTTTGTAGACTCCCGCTTTAACATATCATGTCTTAAATAAGCATATGTTCAGGATTATGTATTCTTGGACCACGTCGTGTAGGAGGCACTCTTTTTTCGATTGAATTGGATGGGTCCTATTCAGTTTCCTTTTTTTTCATGATCGTTCTCAGTGAAGTCTTTTATGGACTTATTCTTTTGTTATCTTGTCAGTCCACTTTATTTTCTCCATTCACCTGTCTCCTGCGCACCACATTTTAAAACTCTCCAAATAGTTCTGGTCGGCTTTTCTTAGAGTCCATGTCCCTGATCCGTAAAGAGCTATGCTCTAGACCAGGGTTTCTTAAATTGGGGGTCGCGACCCCCAGGGGGGTCGCGAGACTGCTGCACAGGGGTCGCACAGATATGATACTTTTCAGTCATTATAAATAAAATTACGTGCAAATATAAATACTTCTTATGAGACTTAAAGACAGTCCAAAGTTTGCAATACAACTGGACGAGTCGACAGACATTTCAAAAATGGCACAGTTGTTACTTTTTGTAAGATATATTTATGAGGGAAGGATTCATGAAGATATACTGTTTTGTCGTCCTCTGGAAGGTCATACTCGTGGAAAAGATATATATAAAAAAGTAAATGAGTTTTTTGAAGAAGAAGGATTAAATTGGAAAAATTGTGTTGGTGTGTGCACGGACGGTGCTGCAGCAATGACCGGACAAGATCTTGGTTTTACAGCATTTGTTAAAGCTGGAAATGATCAAATTACATTTACACACTGTATGATTCACCGAGAGGCACTTGTCGTTGAAAAAATTGCACCAGAATTGAACACTGTGTTTTCTGATGCAGTCAAAATCATTAAATTTATTAAAAGTCGAGCACTTAATAGTCGATTGTTTAAAAATTTGTGCATTGATATGGATTCGGATTATACATGTTTATTGCTGCATGCTGAAGTTAGGTGGCTATCAAGAGGTCGAAGTTTGAAACGATTATTAACTTCAAAAGATGAAGTTCTTATATTTCTAACAGAGCAAAATTCTAATTTGGCCGATTATTTTCACTATAATTTATGGCAAGCTATGCTATTTGGCAGACATTTTTGATAAAATCAATTATGTGAATTTATCAATGCAGGGAGTCTGCGCTAATATATTTATGTTAAAAAATGAACTTGAGGCCTTTGTTAAAAAAATTCTTATATGGAAGAACAGAGTGAAAAGTGGATCGCTCGAAATGTTTCTATTTACTGACGAGTATATACTTAGTAACAATATTTCAATAAAAGATACTCCTATAACAGAAATTATATTTAATTATTTGAAGGACATGGAAGTTTATATGCATAGGTATTTTCCCAATGATATCGATACACACCAATGGATTTGCAATCCATTTACAATTGAAATCGAAGAAATGAATTTTTTAAACTTAAAAGCACAAGAAGAATTTGCCGAATTAACTAGTGATACTACCTTGCGACTAACATTTTCTCAAGAGCCTGTGCATAAATTTTGGATAGAAATGAAATCAGAATATCCCCTACTATCGGAAATAGCAATGAACAAATTACTGCCATTTTGTACAACATATTTATGTGAATCAGCCTTTTCCACATTAACTTATATAAAATCAAAATACCGTTCAACTTTAATAAACGTTGAAAATTTATTACAATTGAGCCTAGATTTAATTATTTGTGTAAAAATAAACAATCACATCCGTCACATTAGTATTGTTTCATATTAATAATATGTTTTTATTAATAAAATTGTTACAAAAGTTTATTTTTTCTATTGAATAAATAAATATATATATAATTTTGCCATACTATTCATTGTTATATATATATATATATATATATATATATATATATATATATATATATATATATGTGTGTGTGTGTGTGTGTGTGTGTGTGTGTGTGTGAAATAAATGGATACGTATTCTTTAATTCTTATTTTATTTACATTGTAAAACAGTGTGATATTACATCTACATCTACTGTTAATATATATTTTATTATTATTTCATTATAAGAAGGAGGGGGTCGTTAAAAATTTTCTGAGCTTAAAGGGGGTCGCTATATAAAAAAGTTTAAGAAGCCCTGCTCTAGACATAACATTTTTTTTATCAATATCATCCACAAGTCGAGACTTGGTTGGTTCTCAGTAGTGTTCTCAACTTCGCAAACTCCACCTTGGCGCTTGCGATCTTTGTCCTGATGTTTCTCGTGCTGTATTCGTTTCTGGTCAGAATGCTTCCTAAATATTTGAAATGATCAACGTCTTCCAATTTTTGATTTTCTACTGTTATCTTCAGAGTTTCATCTCGTTTTGATACTCTCATCACTTCCAATTTGTTGATGCTGATTTCCGTTCCATATCTTCTACCCATTTCGACGATTCTGTCCATCATATTCTGTAGCTCGGTTTGGTTTTTTGATATTACCACTAGATCAATCATTTTGCCATATAAAATAAAATATGTCACCAGGAATAGCTGTTATACCTACCATAATTCATTGAACCGCATAAGTTAAAAAAATATTTTTCAAACATCAGTTTATTTACAGAGATATCGTACCTGTGACAAGAAGTGTGTGCATATGTGAATTGGGCCGCTGGTTGAGAAAACACCTGGAACTGTTTCTAAATGAGTGGAATTTGTGACTTATTGCATATTTCGTCTATGACAAGGTATATATATATATATATATATATATATATATATATATATATATATAACTGCAACTGATAACATGGTAATATTGCATTGTAATGATGCATATATAAAACTGAGGTAACTTGACCTATTTTAATGTACTGACTTTAAGAGGGCAGGCGAGGGGACTTACGGAAGCGACAAGAATAAGCATTTTCCAGAAATGATTTCAAGTTGCAATATTCGCAATGAATCCGAATATGGTCGATCCACGACAAATAAGGATAATTACAAGTACAGGACTCTACTTAATTGATACTGCTCTCCTGGCATTTTCACATTTTTCAATAGTTTTCACAAAATTGGAAAAATAAACAGTCTAAACGCACTTGGGTAAACATTTGTACTAGAGTGGCGCTTAGACTGTGTTTAGCCTGGGTAATTTTTTGAATTTTTTTTAATTCAAAATTACAAAAATATTTTATGAAAAATAAAAAAAGATGTAATATTTGTTTATCTTCAAAAGCAATTGTTTTGTCAATACAAGCAGAAAGTTTTCAGATCATTCAATCGGACGCTTCCAAATAAACTGCCATTTTTTGCACATTTAGCTCTGTATCTCCGAAATGGCGGGACCTGTCTTTGCCAAAAACTAATCACCTCTTCTCCCAATCCTTACAAATTGAATGTTTTTATGTTAGATCATTCAAATCTGATATTCCGTTCTCTCAAAAACTCGTTTTGTATTTTCTGCACTATTTGCTCCCTATCTCCGTAACGACTGGAACTGCCTTTGCCAAAAACTAACCAGCACATCTCCCTATCAATAGGAATCGAATGTTGTTTAAACTATTCAAATCGGTTGATTTGTGCGGCCGAAAACCTGGACGAAAAAATGCAGACATACAAAACACACACACACATGCATTTTTTCTGAGGTATGCCAGCAAAATGTTCAGAAACCTTCAAAACTTCGAAAAATGCAAAAAAAATTATTTTCGATTTTCGGCCCGTTACTATAACTACCCTACGGGAAGTTAAACAATATGGATTTTTGAGGTGTTGCATCAACCGGAATTGAACTTGATTTATATTCATATTTACTAATCTCTGGAAACATTTCTTTTAATATTAATCTATGGTAACTTCAAACGTTTAACTTCTGGAGGTCTAATTAGAGGCATAATTTATTGTTCACTCCTATTCACTTTTTTAACTTCCCGTAGGGTAAGTTATAGTATTTGCAAAAAAAATCTAAAATGAAAATTTTTATATTCTTTACGTTGCAAAACCTTCTGAACATTTTGGCATACCTTAGAAAAAATGAATGTATGTGTTTGTGTGTGCGTGTGTGCTGATACAAATTTTCGTCGACGATTTCGGGAACACGGATGAAGCGATTTGAATAATTCAAAAAACATTCGATTCGTATTGATAAGGAGACGTGCAGATTAGTTTTTGGCGAAGGCAAGTCTAGCCGTTCCGAAGATATGGGGCAAAAAATTCCAAAAATGGTAACTCAGTTTTTAAGAGAACGGAGCGTCCAATGTTATTAATTCAAAAAACGTCTTACTTGTATTGGCAAGATGAAGAATTGATCAAATTTTCATGAAGGAAAATCTAGCGGTTTCGGAGATCTAATGAAAAAAGTAAAAAAAAATGCCATTTGGCGGTCAAAAATAATCATGAGACATGCACATCAAATTATCAGATATTCTATAGAGATTTTAACAATAAGTTTAAATTTTGTTTGCATTCCTATGGGTTCCGTATCAATGTTTGTCCGTTAGAAGGCGACGCGGCGCTTGCACGCTTCGATATTTCGTCTCTATGCAGTTAAAGCAGTACGATTGCTTTGAAAAAAAGTTCAAAATTTCCAAAATATGTCAAAATAAAGAAAACATTTTTTTTCAAAAAATAATATTTTTTAAAAAAAAGTAATTTTTTGTCAAATTTATAGTTTTTCAAAAATCTAATTTTTTCGAAGTAATTTTTTTTCAAAAATGTTCATCGTTTTTTTAAAAAAAAATAATTTTTGGTACGGGAAGTTCCAGCAATTTGCCTTAATGCACGATGCCATGCGCCCCACTAGATGGTTTTTGTATTCGTAAATAGTACTTTGCCTATTTGTACCACCTTTCGCAAAACCCCACAGGTTGGAACCGACGTATTGATTTTATTTTATTCTTTTTGAAGTAAAACTTCTTTAGGCGCGACTAGGGTGTAAATCCGTCGTTGTATATGTACCGATATCAACAAGGAAATCGACATAGATAAATAAACATTTTAAAGTTACATCGTAATACAAATTTTTGATTTAATGCGAAATGCCTGAATCGAAAGAATATATTTTACCTTGTTTTTTGAAAATATTAAAACAAATTATACATTTGTTTCTTGATAAGAAATTTTTTCTATATTATTCGTAGTTTCTATAAATCTTTGTAGTTATTAAAATAAATATTTTTAGGCAAGACAGATATCACAGCTGTTCAAAGAATAATAGTATATCGCCAGCAAAAAATAAAAAAACTACAAGCCGTAAATGAATGTATGTTAATTTTAATTACATGAAGTTCTTCAAACACAATTATTAAATGATGAGTGAGTGAAGTTGCAAAAACAATATTTGTTTAGGCGTTGTTTAACTTAATCCACTGTGTGAACGAGAATATCATAGAATTTATTAATCAGCAATTACTTCATTTCTCTAATGAAGTTCAAGTTCAAGTCCTAAATGCTAATTACAATGACAAACCGATCATGTCATATTTGAAGTATGATTTGAATTACATTATTGTTTTCAAATATTATACATATTTTTAATGCTATTATAGATATATAATTTATAATTTATCATTATTTAAATGTGTATAATGGCCGACACTAATAAATGTGTGCATCACTAGTGTTACAATATTACTGATAAACATTATTCAAAATTGTTATAGGATGTATTTATTTTTGCTTAAATGCCATCTTGTACAGTAGCAAATAAGTTTTACTTCAATCTCGTGTGAACCTTACGCGCACTCTTTTTTTATTTCACTCAGACTTTGACCGCACGTCTAGCAAAGTTATTGGGCACAGACAAACCAAAAAATCGACGAGCAGTAGGTAAGCTGCACCAGGCTGGAATTTTGTTTGCGGTTCTGTGTGAGTAATAAATATTTACTGTGATACCTGCGTAAAATGTACATTTTAATAAGTGATCTCTGAATATAAGAGGACATCCCTTACATGTTTCGTTTTGTCTTAAGGGGCACAGCCTAGTGTAACCGCATAAAAAAAAGGTGATTTTTGGGAAATTATATTAAACAAAATGCTTCATCAATCATTTCAAAATTTTAAGAACATATTTACACATGCCTTAAGAATTCATAGTATAAGTTTTAAAGAAAAAAATTAAATATTTTATAAGTTATCGTCGATCTCCAATGGC